CTTTGGCTGTTGTTGTGCAATGCCAGGTCCGTGGTAAATAAAGCCCCCCTCATTTGTGATCTTATTCAGGAGGGGGGAGCGGACTTGGCAGATATTACGGAGACCTGGTTGGGCCAGGAGGGGTGAGTTCCCCTCATAGATATGTGCCCACCAGGCTTCTGTGCATTCCACCAGCTGAGAGCTCAGGGCAGGGGCGGGGGGGTGGCGGTTATTATAAAGGACGGTCTTGATCTGAGGGAGACCACTGTTCCACAGATAGCCGGATGTGAGTCCCTTCTTGTGAAGTGGGGCCATGGAGTGCAGATGGGCTTGTTGATCACGTACCTGGCTTCCTGCCACATGGCAACGGCCCTGCCTGAGCTGCTCAACGTCATAGCTGAGGTGGCGGTTGATACCCCCAGACTTTTGGTCATGGGGGATTTCAATATGCCATCCATCGGTGAAACGTCTGAGGTGGCTCGGGAGTCATGGCTTCCATGACGGCCATGGACCTGACTCAATTAATTCATGGCCCTACTCACATGGGCGGGCACACTCTGGACTTAGTTTTTATCTCTGGTCAGTGGTCGAGTGTCCTTGATACAGGGGATATAGTCATCAAACCCTTGTCATGGTCTGACCACTCGCTCCTTCAACTTGACTTTCTAACTGCTACACCCCGCCGCAGGGAGGCGGGACTGACTAGGTGGTTCTGCCCCAGGCGCCTGATGGATCCTGATAGGTTCCAGATGGAGCTTGGGCCATTTCCTGAGACTCTGGCTCATGACTTGGCTGAAGACCTGGTGGCCACCTGGGACAGTGCGGCCGCTGGGGCTTTGGACCACGTCGTCCCTTTGCGTCCTCTGACCCGGCACTGAACTCACCTAGCTCCTTGGTTCTCCGAGGAGCTGAGGGAGATGAAGCACCGGAAAAGACGCCTTGAGAGCGGTTGGAGGACCAGCCGTTCTGAATCCGACCGAACAATGGTGAGGTCTCATATTAAGACCTACCTAGTGGTGATAAAAGCGGCAAAATCTAGCTATTTTGCCGCCCTTATTGCGTCATCAGATAATCGCCCAGCCGCCCTGTTTAGGGTGACCCTCTCCCTCCTCCATCTGGGAGCGTGGGATGATCCCTTGCAGGGTCGAGCTGAAGATTTTGTGCAATATCTGTATGACAAGATTGCTCAGATTCGGGAAGGTCTGGCCTCTGACTGGGTAAGTCCGGACAGAATGATTGAGGCAGGTCTTGAGAGTGTTATCTGGGAGGAGTTTGATCCTGTGGCTCCCGAGGACGTGGACAGGATTCTGGGATGGCTGAACGCGACCACATGTTTATTGGACTCGTGTCCCTCCTGGTTGGTGCTGGCTTCCCGGGAGGTTACACGAGGCTGGTTCCAGAGGATTATTAACGCTTCTTTGAGCGAGGGTGACCTACCGGCTACCTTGAAAGAAGCGGTGGTGAGGCCCCTCCTCAAGAAGCCCTCTCTGGATCCGGCTGTTTTGGCTAACTATAGTCCAGTCTCCAATCTTCATTTTATTGCGAAGGTTGTTGAGAGTGTGGTGGCGCGGCAGCTTCCACAGTACCTGGATGAAGCTGTCTATCTAGATCCGCTCCAGTCTGGCTTCAGGCCTGGGCAAAGCACGGAACTGGCAATGGTCGCGTTTGTGGATGATCTCTGGAGGGCTCGGGATAGGGGTTGTTCCTCTATCCTGGTCCTGTTAGATCTCTCAGCGGCTTTTGATACCATCGACCATGGTATCATGTTGCACCGCTTGGAGGGGTTGGGAGTAGAGGGCACCGTTTTGCAGTGGTTCTCCTCCTACCTCTCTGACCGGTTGCAATCTGTGTTGGCAGGGGGGCAGCGGTCAACCCCGAGGCGCCTTGTTTGTGGGGTGCTGCAAGGGTTGGTCCTCTCACCCCTTCTGTTCAACATTTATGTAAAGCCGCTGGGCGAGATCATCCGTGGCTTTGGGGTGGAGTTCCATCTGTACGCTGATGACACTCAGCTGTACATCTCCACCCCAGGCCACCCCAACGATGCCCTTGAAGTGATGTCCCGGTGCCTGGAGGCCGTGCGGGCCTGGATGGGGAGAAACAGGCTCCGACTCAACCCTTCCAAGACCGAGTGGCTGTGGCTTCTGGCGTCCCAATATAGCCAGTTGGTGCCATCGCTGGTTATTGGGGGTGAATCACTGGCCTCCACGGAGAGGGCTCGCAACTTGGGCATCCTCCTGGATGCATGGCTGTCTTTAGAAGAGCATATGACGGCCGTGGCCAGGGGGGCTTTTTATCAGGTTCGCCTGATATGCCAGTTGCGTCCCTTTCTGGATCGGGACTCCCTACGCACGGTCACTCAGGCACTCATCACTTCCCGCCTGGACTACTGCAATGCTTTCTACATGGGGCTCCCCTTGGGGTGCACCTGGAGGCTCCAGTTGGTCCAGAATGCGGCCGCGCGGGGGATTATGGGAGCAACGGAGCGCTTCCATGTGATACCTCTCCTCGCAAGCTGCACTGGCTTCTGGTGGTCTTCTGGGTGCGCTTCAAGGTGTTGGTGACCACCTTTAAAGCGCTCCATGGCTTAGGGCCGGGGTATCTACGAGACCGCCTTCTGCCGCCAATAGCCTTCCACCGGCCAGTTTGCTCGCACAGAGAGGGCCTCCTCAGGGTGCCGTCGGCAAGACAATGTTGGCCAGCGACCCCCAGGGGGAGAGCCTTCTCTGTGGCGGCACCTGCCCTCTGGAACGACCTACCCCCAGAGATACGCACAATACCAGACCTCCGGACTTTTCGTCGGGCCCTGAAAACACATCTATTTCATCTAGCTGGGCTGGCTTGATCCCATCCTTTCGGTTTTAATTTGAAATTGGTTTTAACTGGTTTTAATTGTTTTAAATTGAGGGCCGAAATTATTTAATGTCTTTTAAACTGTTTTTTAAATTTTATATGTTATGTTTTATCTCGGTGGTTCACCGCCCTGAGTCCTGTTGGAGAAGGGCGGTATAAAAATAAAATAAAATAAATAAAAATAAATAAAATAAACATATTATAGTCAACCCTCACAAGCTATTCTCCATCCTCTTTCATAAAAACAGTAATTTTTGAAACTTTTGTGTTCTTTTAATCTTAATTTTTACCTTGCTTCTTTAATTATACCTTATTTCTTTACATTAAATCATACTAATGTATCAATTATTATTCTCTCCATAACATTTCCCTAAATATTGTTCCTGTACTGTGCAATCTACAATTCAACAAACCCATTCTTTTGTAAGAATGAACTTGCTCAAAACACAAGATAATTTTAAAAACATTTTCTTTAAATGAGCTGGATGGAACAAGCTTATGTGTGAACAGATGCACAAACGATGTAGTTGAGAAACAGATCAATTCCTACATTTTTCCACAATGGATCTTCTGATCAATTATCAGACTCTACAGTATCATTGCTGCAATGCAATTATCAGAATGTCATAATTATGAAGCACAAAAGGGCACACATTTCATACACAGCATACAACTCCAAAGGAAGCTTGGACTGAACTCTTACAGATTGCCTTTTACATTTATATTAGAAATCTAAGTTTGTATACATGTCTTCCCTATACTTGATTCTAAAAGTCACGATAGTTTGACTATTCGTTTCGGTTCTGATAGAATATCAAGAAAACAGATTTTAAGCAATATTAGAACTGTACACTGCCCCACAATTCCTCAGAGACTCATGCTAATCCATCAATGGCCACCACAAATAGACTGATGTCTCATTATAATGAGAGATCAAAGGAATTCTCCAACCATGCTTTGAGTCAAATATGATAACATCTTGATGAAACAAAACATGATCAGATTTAAGATCTCTCTCTCTCTCTCTCTCTCTCTCTCTCTCTCTCTCTCTCTCTCTTCTCTCTCTCCCCTCCCTCCCAGAATGGAAAAAAACATAAGACATACTGGAATTTAATTTCAGCAGGCAGCCCAATACCACAAAATGCATTTAAGCAGGAAGTTACATGTGACCATCAGATATAAATGTTTTGCCTAAAGTACAACATGTGAAGCAGCTCTGATCACTCCTGCAACACCCACAATACCCCTGTAGAAATTAGTTGTCAAAATTAATGATCAAAATTATTATTTAAGAAACATGTGTTTTGCCATATGATGTAGTTGTATAAATACAGCTCATGAAATTTATGCATTATATTGGGCTTATCATTGAGCCTATAAATACAGTAACCCTTTTAGCTGTCATCTGCTTTATGGGGTAGATCCCATGATAACGTAGCTGAAAAAATTTCCCTTTATTGATTGGCCTCCTCTGTCCATTGAGTCTGGAATCATTATTGTATCACACCCCGTATCATGCATCAGTTCTTCTCATATCTCACTTCTATTACAAGTGCAATGTAAGAGTAGAACAAACAAAAGCAATAAACCATTGATATGCTGTGGTTCTGTTTCTATTTCTGAAATCTGGTGTGATCTGTATGCCTTAGAAGACTTTGAGAGTTCTGGTTTTCAGGAAAGGAGAAATCTCTGATTACATTTTGCTTTCCGTAATAACCATAATATTATTTCATATTTATGTAACATAGAAATATTTTTTTGAAATAGGTCAGTAATTGATACCACCACTGCAGACCTACATGCCTTGATTTTCTTCAACCATCTCATTTCCATGAGCTCCATGAATGGGCTGAGCTCCCATTACTGTCCCAGCTCCTGCCCACCTAGCAGTTCGAAAGCATGCAAATGCAAGTAGATTAATAGGTACCACTTTGGTGTGAAGGTAATATGTATCATGCACCTTTGGCATATATCCATGCTGGCTACATGACCCTGGAAATTGTCTTCAGACAATGCTGGTTCCCTTGGCCAAGAAACAGAGATGAGCACTGCATCCTAAAGTCAGACATGACTGATAGGGAAAACTTTATCTTACAACAATGCAATAGATTTCAGGCCATGCAATAAACAACAAACCATTTGTAAGAAATACAGAAGTGGGATTTTTTTACCTGTTATATTGCAATATACCAAAAGTGGGGGAAGTGGACCACTCGCATCGGAGTCAATGTGGAAGAAACCAGATGTTTTTCCTTGGTGCCGATAAGTTTCACAGGATTGCTCATAAATAGCTGAAAGGAAAAGAAATAGTTTCTTATGGCAAATGCCAAAATAAGAGTTCGGGATTAGTTAGATAAATTATTATTGTTTCATATAATAGAATAGGATAGGATAGGATAGGATAGGATAGGATAGGATAGGATAGGATAGGATAGGATAGAATAGAATAGAATAGAATAGAATAGAATAGAATAGAATAGAATAGAATAGAATAGAATAGAATAGAATAGAATAGAATAACAGAGTTGGAAAGGACGTTGGAGGTCTTCTAGTCCAACCCCCTGGACTAGGGGGGAAACCCTACACCACTTCAGACAAATGGTTATCCAACATCTTCTTAAAAATTTCCAGTGTTGGAACATTCACAACAAAATATTTATTTTATTTTAATTATTTATCAAATTTCTATACCACCTATCATACTTGTGTATTTTTATGTCTATCTCACTGCTGGTTGGCTGGATTTATTTGTGGAACAGTTACCTGTTGAGTTTGTCTAGAAAAAGGACTTTATCATAATTATTTCTTCCACATTTCTGACATAAAGACAGTAAGAAGGACTTGGTAAGTGCATAAAGTTAAGGAACAGTTAGTGTAATAGTATAGCATGTAATTCTGAGATTTATGCTAGTGTTCTTTTGAGGAATGTTTGTGAGAAGCATTGCACTCTGTCAAGAAAACTCAATCAGCATTCAGTTATCTATGGGTGAATATAAGCAAGGTAAAGAACAAGGATTTAAAAAGGAAAAATTTGTATTAGAAAATTCCAGAGATTTGAGAGAAATCTGTTCTATATCTGAGGTAAGGACTGCCACATTTCCAAGCAGCTTTCCTATCTATCATGTTTGTGACAGAAAACAACCATGTACAAATTTTATTTATTTTGGTTGATTTTAATTTAACTTAATTTATTAAACTTAATATATCTGCCCACTCCAGAAAATTCTAGATTTTATTTGTTACTAGTACAGAATGCTTTTCATTCTATTTTTGATTCTTTCTCTCATATTGTCACATAAGGCCCAAATACTTTTTCTTTTTTTTCTGAGACAGTTTGGATATAGAGCTGGGATTCCTCACCCCAGAAATAAGATGTTCCTCTGAGCAACATCTTGGTAAAAATAGTAAAAAAACCTAGCACCTTCCTCACCTATTATACTACAACAGTTAGTATTGCTATCATGCATATTACATAAAGTAGTACTGTACAAAGAGGTACAGTAAGGGAACAAGGGATAATATATTGAAATATGTGTTGACAGTTGAGGCCAATGAAAGATGGGTCATCAAGAAAAGTAAACATTGAGAGCTTTGATGTGTTGCAACCTGAACTGCATATTCCTTAAATAAACTTGAGAATAATTTATTCTCTTTGCCTCATATACTGTATTTAAATGTGAATTGCAATGGCCTGCCAAAAGCATTTGATGGGATAAGGACATTTCAAAATATACAATATTCTTTGCCTAAGTGATTCCTTGATTCTATGTGCTGCCTCTTTTCTAGTTGTGAATTCCAGTGTTTGCCTAGGTCCCAGATTTGATCTAACTTTCAGCTATTGAAAAATAGATTTTCATTCCCTGGGGTGGAATATAAACTGAGTTTGAGGGGCATTTTCTAAATTTAAATAAAAAGAAGAAGAGACTGATTTGTGCAAAAGGTATTATGTTTTATTTTATCATATATGTAATTTTCTTCTAACAGTCAACAACAAAGTAAAGTCATTTCTGATTTTCCTGCCTTTATGTATGGGAGAATGAAATGTCGATTTTCCAAACCAGGTACTGAGTAAGAGTGAACTATTTCTAAAATGACACATATTGGATTCAGGCTTTTCTGAAGTTCAGTATTCAGAAAGAAAATCAAGCAAATTCTGCATAATCAAAATATATACAACACTAAGAAGAACATTCACACTCTGCTTTTAGAAGAGAATAATTATCGAATAAACATTTATTTTAGTTCATTAGTTATAACATCTTGCTTAATGTTGTTGGCTTTGCTTTTGCTTTGCTCTGCTTTGTTTTTCTTTAGCTGTTGAGATGCCTACACAGTTACATAAAAGTTAATTGATAGGAATTTTTTTGTCTCCATAGGAAGCAAGAATATTTTGAAAATATTTTGCAAATGTTCAAGAAAGCATAGAAGTTTGTTCCTTGTAATAAATGAGTAAATGTTAGTTGCTAAAGATAAAATATAAATATGCAATTGAAATTGGAATCATTATTATACAATGTAAAATCTGTATTTGTGTTGCCCTGAAATCATCTACACACAGAAAATATTTTGTAGAAAAACGGGGCCAGCAAATGGACAACGTGTGGGACAACTTTTACAATTATTTTATTCTTTTATTTAATGTTACTTTATTTTAATAGCTCACTGATTTTTTTTTCATATCTATGGATAAACCTAAATAATACAATCATCTTAATAAAGATTGGTAATAAACAGTTCTGGTTTTTCATAAAACAATCATTGTAACATTTTAGTACTTTCCTATATGCTGATATTTTGAATTTGATCTAAGAAAGAAAATAATTCTTATTTCTTCCAATAGTTTAGCCAACATGTGTATCTGCTAGTAAAATGTGATTCTCAAACATAGTGCAGATCACTTTTCTTTAAACCTTTCTGAGTGCAACCATTTGAATTATTAGATGACAATTCATGCTGGATGATTCAACTTTGGCTGACTTACTGTATATGTACTGCTACCTTAAGTAACCAAGGATATTCTATAGATAGTAAAAAATATTTTTTTTTCAAATGCTAAAATATTTATTTATTGCCTAGGCTAGGGAATACAAAACCATCATATACTCTGGAAACATACTCTGCAAGTTAGAAGTTCAAAGTGACTTAATGATATTAAAGGTAGGCAATTAACAGGCCTTTGAAAAGTGACTTATATTTGTTTTAATTAAGCAGTTCGTCTTCTGGAGAAAACAGAATATGCACCAATAAAATATTTTGGACAGTCTCAAGCTGCTTTGGGCCAGTGCTACAGAAATCTCTTTTTCCCCCTCCAAATATTAGCTTAAGGTCTTCCATACTTAAATGGCTTGGAAATTGCCCATACCATGAGCTGGACCTACTCAGCCTGGAAGAGATTTAGTGCATGAGGCAAGCAGTAATTCCTGTACAAGGATCATTAAAACTTTTGAAAGTGCTCCAAAGGAGATTCCAGACAATTGGTTTAGGTATATACAGCAATGTTTGCTATAATCATCAAATCTGGAAATCATTTAGTGGATGTCAAGGATGCTCCAGACAAGCCACATTGCATATTATAGAAGTGTATGGGCCACGACTACATGAGAAGACATCTCTCAGCCCATTCCCATATCACAAGCTCTATGGGAGAAGGCTCTGAAGCAGGTTGTGGCAAAACACTATGGTTCCTTCAATCTTACAAGTGAGGGGAACACTGCAGTTTTGAAGGAGTGCATCATTGCTTCCTTTGAAGCTTTGCATATTACAGAAACTCCACAGACATCTGAGTACTTCATACATTATGGGTAAGACACAGGGAATTGCCTGAGTCTTATCTCTGATCCAACTATTTTACAATATGAATATGTGGTCTCCTGGCAATGATCTCCAAGAATTTCCCAACATTATATGGAAATGTCAAAGACTGAAATAAGTATATTTTTCATAGAAAATAGTTGCTGTACTATGGTCTCCACAAAAACAAAGGGAGTATATCAGGCTAACAATTATTGGAAAATCATTGTAATGACATTTTTCATCTATACACAGAATTTACTAATTTCTTAAAAGTCATTTCGAAGTGGACATTTTGCCAATCATGAATGTTATACTTTGCTTTAAAGAAAATACAGAAAAGTAAAAGGATGGCATTAATACCATATATTGGCTTGGCTGTCTGCTGTTTCTAGAAACTGCTCTCTGCCACCAGCTTTTAATGATCTTTTCAAATCCACTTTATTTAGCGCAATCATGTATTCTGAACAAACAAAAAGGAATGTGAATTCCCATTCATTAGTAATGAAGGAGAATGGTTTTATAGAGTACTTGTGCCCACAAAAGGGATTATTAGGCACAAACTAATAAAAGAAAATGCATATTCTAAAAACTAAGTGTACCATTGTAGCAGGCTGAAATGACATAGCACATTCCCAGAGGATACATAATTGTTTGCAAGGAGAAGAGAGAGGTGTTTGCACATATACTGTATGTGGGTGGATGTGGGTATGTATGTATGCATGTATGCATATAGTACATACACACATACATGTACACACACATTTCAGTTGTTTCTCTTTCCTTAATTAATTTCCTGGCACTATGGAACATGATATTCTGCAATTACTGTATGCAGAGCTTCAAGTAATATCCATGCACATTTCACTATACTGTATTCCAAATTATTCAAACAGAGTTCATGGCACTGTTCTGGCATTACAATATATTCTTGGTATGTACAGTATATATGGAATTGCCAGGTAAAAAACCTCTATCCCTGTAGAAAGCCAATTCAAGTGGATTTGCACTCAAATATAATAACATATTGTGTATTTTTTTCCAAATCTCATTTTGTCTTTGGACTAGTTTATTGTTCATATATTTTCCTTTATTTCCTTTGTTATTTAATAGCTGTGATATGCTGATAGTTTAAGTCATTTGTTACTTTATCACCGAAGGCTGAGAATTTTCTCTATATGATATGCAGCTGTGGCTCTTTAAGTTCTCAGCTGTAAGAAAATGATAAATATTCTAATAAAGAACCAGAAACTCTAATTGCTCAAAATTCAAGAAGAAGTGAAGAAAGCAGAAACATTCAACAGATGACAATTCATGAACAATATTGATTTGGCTATTCAATATGACTTTATTTCTATTCAAATTTAGTCAAGTCACCAAGCATCAAATCTTATTTTTGAACCAAGAAGACAAATGGCAGGTTTCTTCCCATTATCATTTTAGCAAGTTCTTTTTCATGAAAATATATATTTAATATTGAAGCCACAGGTGATAATCCTAG